ATTGGTTTTGGTTTTACAATTTTTCACTGATTGGCCATGTGGAATGGGTGGAGCATCAATCTGCACATAAACCCAGAGTCAATCGGTCGCCAAGGGAGGACCAAGTGGAACTGGGACCACGAGTGCCGATACGCTGTATGAGCTAACCCACGGTATCTCAGGAGGTTCCAGATTTACTTTTACACTGCAGAAGCCGAGCTGCGCTGTTGACGTCACACACAATAAACAAATCAAGATGTGGGAAGATGACGCAAATGTTATATCCTCGCAATACACTAACAGCTAATGTCACACGCCACAATGAATGTGACACCAGCCCTGCCCCTGGCCCTGCTTGGCTCCAAACGAGTCCAGCGTATCAGTTTGGTTCTGGCATGGCTCGGCAAATAGTCAGTGGAAAATAACTTATACCGCGAGGGCGTCATGCTGGTTCAGTTTGGATATGCCAGTGGAAAAGGGGTATGTGATGCCTGGGACAGTTTAGTACCAATAACAAACCCCCCAACCCCTCCCACCCCTGGTTATCTGTAAATGAGTACAGTACACAAGTGAAAGGCACTCACCTCTGTATATATTAAAGACGTTGTATAATACAAATCGACTGTCAGGGATGTCACCCAACTTGAATTGACAATTGACAGTTCATCATTATAGGGCACGGAGCCCTGCATTTCAATTCCATGCAATTGACAAGACGTCTTCATGTCCACCTTCAAGAAGGCTCCAGTAGTGGTCTGGGGCTGCCAGAAGCTGAGCTTGTTGTTGAGACGAGCGAATGTTCCCTCATAGCCGGTGACACTCGATGAGGGTTGCAGTGCCTCATCTGGGATGAAGCCAGACTCCAACCCCAGCCGATGAATATCTGCAATGTTTATATGTAAAACAGGAGCTGCTGCTTCATGCATTCCCACGAATATTGGCATATTTAAATTTAGATATCATAATATATTATACGTACAGCACATTACAAATCACCCGGAATGCCCCGATCTCGAAAGTTAAGCAGCGTTGAGACTGGATAGTACTTGGATGGGTTATCACCACAACGCATTGTTTATTTAGCGAAGTCTATTTCACGCGACTTCTCACAGTCAAAACACCAGATACATTTGCAAAATATAAAAAGATAAATAAATAAATGTTCTTTGAGTGGACGTCAGCCCACATATCCACAGAGCCACTTTGCAGCCTCCTCCTCCGGCACATGCAGGGCAACCAGTCTGCTCGGACCACCCATACGCACGTTACAAACCGAAGACGATGTGCACCATGGTCTCCTGCTCCCCGCAATCACACAGTAAGCTGTCATAAAGGCTCCATCGATGTTCGGAAATAGCACACTCACTGGTCACATCGGAAGTGGTTTAACTGCACTCAGTGGTGCCTTGGGAGGTGGAAGCCAGGCATCTGGACAGATGGATCGCTTATGAGGTCCTTGTTCGGCACTTTCATGGCTATCCATTTGTCGCTCCAGGCAGTGCGGGTATGCCACATACTCAATTCTTGTGTGGTATTGCCCACACTGGGTTTCGGGAGTTCAGGCGCACAGGTGGTGACTTTAAAATGTCGACATGAAGGGGTAGTATTGAGTGACTCATTAACTATCATGCTATTCGAGCTGTTACTTGTTAAAATAATGAAGAGCATGTGGGGGCTTATGATCACTGTCATCTATTAACCGTCGTCTTTACCGCTGTCAGAATTATTTTCCAAGCTTTCCGGTCTCCTCGACTGTGGGTCACTTGGCTCATGCTACATCATCTATGGGGATCTGAACTCTCCCAGAACGATCGGTTTTGTGGTAATATTAAAAGTGATCTCGCTGAGATTATCGATAGTCGCAGTTTAACCCCGCACGTCAGTGGAGCAGCATGTCACTCGGGAAATATACTGGATCACATCTTCCTATCCGCCAATGCAGTAACTGTCACCAACGTTGTTATTGAAGACATGGGTATCAGTGCGGATTGAACATGGGTAGCATAGACATTAGAGCGTAATATAGTAAAACAGTGGCTTTTGCTGGACAGCATAGCTTCGCAGAAGCAGCCTTCAAAAAGTGTTGTACACAGTGGTCCATCCATGTGGGCGCTATCCAGGATCAATCCTGCTTAGCTTTTCCGATAAATATTATACCATTTGGTTGCAGCCATTAATTGATACGCACCTGTGCGGAAAAAAAATAAAGTTGCTTTGCTGCAATTCTTGAAATTAATTAGCCCTTCTGTGGTGAGACACAAGTCTTCTGGCATGACCACCAAACGCTGGTCTTCATAGAAAAATGTATTGCCGGTCGGACAAGTCTCGAAATATACGGGATCTTTAATGTTGTAGATTATCAGGCATCTGTTTCGCTTTGCCATGGATACGAGTCCATTACTTAAAAAGGCAAAAGACCATATGCAAAATTTCTCCTCGTCAACTAGAGTTAAAACCCCTCCTTCACTATTAGTAACTCCCAAGCAGGTTGTCGGATTTTTCACCGAGCATATGCAGGATACTTCTCGGTAATTTATGGAGTCTGTAATGCAAAGGGACACAAGAGACAATAATTTTGTTTGAAAAACCGTCCATAGTGTAAATAAGATAAAGGTCATGTGTCAAGTTGTTGCTGTCTGGTGAGTTGTCAGGCTGTGCCACGTATTGTCCGAAATAATGGCTGACGTTTTGCCCCACAACCTTCGGAGCACATTCGGGAACTGAATTGAGCAACTCACTACTCAGCCAGCCTGTTGAAAAACTTCGGTGTTAGTAGTGCCAGTCCCAAGCCAGAAATAATGGGGAAAGGTGGTGTCTGGTACAGTCGACTGCCCAATTAAAATCTAGCCAAACGGAATTGTGCAGCGTCATCTGTAAGAAAGTATAAACAATGCTTATGCGTACGCTAGAGATGACACGAGGCAGTAGCTACCCTAGGTAGCAGTGGTATGATGGTAAGGGAGTATCGCTTCAGACTGTGTCGCTGCAGCTAAATAAACAATTCCAGAAAATTCAGAAGAACAGGATAGCAACCTGGAACATCGGGTCAATGGACCGAGACTATATATGAGGTACATTCAGTTGCATTCAGGAATCGAGGTGGAAGGGTGAATAATGGTAAGGAAATTGGCGAAGGCTGTGAGCTGATTTACTGGACAAAGACATAAAGGGCAGAGGGTGTGGTGCAGGCAGACTGGGTCAGCGACAATAACTTTAATGAAACTTCCACTCCAGAGTGCTGCACAACACGTGGTCTGCGCATGTGCACACTGATCCGGATGTTGTGCAGAAGAAAATGCAGAGGTATGTGAGTTGGAGAGATGGCATGTTGATAAAAAAAATCCACAAGAATGTGAATGTTATCACCGCGGCAGATCTGATTGGTGATGTGGAGAGGGACCAGGGCGTGTACAGGTGATGTCACGGCAGGAATGGTTTCGACCTCATGAGCACGGTGATATTACACAGACTGCAAAAGCACACGACCTGGCTGTCACAAAAAGGTGATCACATAGTTTACACACAAGAGCGACAGTAATAGGAGTCGGGTCGACTATTTCCTGTCGAATTGAAGTGGCCTGAGAAACTTGGAGGCCTGTAAAGTTATTCCTCGATAATGCATCACTGTAAAGCACAGATTTCTTGTTATGGACTTGTATGTGTTGGAGTAGATGAGATGCTTCTCATCTGGCAAATTCCCATTGTAATAAGTAGTTATTTTACAAGGACGACCACAGCCCAAGACCATGGGTATTGGCGGCAGTTACAGAACATCGCAGGGTTGGACCAACTGAGCCATGTAAATGTAAGTTGAACTTCCTTCACACTATATGTAGCCGACCGCGCTAATCAGGACAACAAGAAAATAGATTATAATAGCTAGCCTAGAGTTCAAACGGAGAGTAATAGAGAATCTTAAGAGAGGTTTAGTAGAACGATGCTTAATAATTGTGGGAGGAAATCGCTGACTGCACGAGTAGCTGTGCAAAAACGATGGTGGGCGAATCTCGAGAGAAACCTTATCCAGAAAGAAATGTGGAGGTGGAGTGAAGAAGTGCAGAAGAAAAAGTTTAACTTATGGCCGAATTAAAAGGAACTAACAGGGACTGTGAGGAATATATGAGATACTATCCTCGAGTTGTCATTGCATAAAGCTGGGAGATAAAACATGTGAAGTCTCTGCCAATGTTCATCGGTTGAGTTGGGTATGGGGTTTGATATCGGACTGAAGTAGTGCATCAAGATGACATTTTAAAGAACATTTCCGATGCTCCGCGTATTTCCCTACACTTCATTCAACAACCTGTTGAAATATTGAGAAGTTTGGAAGGCAAATTCACATGTTTGTAAAAGTAAATTTCCTGGAAATTTTCAAGGGGAAAATTATATGAGTATGCAGGTGAATGAGCGAAACAAGATAGGGAAGCGTTCCAATTGCTGTGCATCGTAGAAATAATGCATATTTTTCAGGGGTGATACTGGTCAGCTAGCGAGATGATAGAGGAGATGTAGAAAAACACGGGGATGGACTGAAAAGAGAGATGAGCGGCACAGAGCAGGGAAATAAAATGACCCTTTATGTTGATTAGAATTTTTAAATGAATCTGGGGTTGCTTAAACTGCTTTGGCCCCAGGCATGATGCTCAATGTGTCTATGCCTTGTGCTGCCATTGACGACTTTGTTGGATCAAAATGGCAAGGTTGGTGGATCATGCCAAGATGCTGCTTGCTTGGGTACTCACCAGCAGGGTAATGAGGTGGTGCAATGGACCTTGAGGTCATTCATATGTGAGCTCGACGATGAACAGAGAGATCTCAACTTTGAAAACAAATCAATTTGGCTAAATATTAAAATGTAGAGTGGGGTTTCCTGTGTAACCAGATTATAATGCATATATCGTAAAATATGACTCATACGGTGTCGCGTTTGCAAAAACATGTACAGTACAACACCCCATCGCATATCCGACACACTGGGGACTGAGATTCATGCAGGTCTGCGAAAGGGTTAGATATGGGGAGATCTATTTAGAATCACATTTTACACAATCATGCACAAACAGGTGACAAATATAAAGCACAAACAGCTTGAAACACAGGACAATGCTTGTCCGTGCTTTAGAGGTGAGCAGATTTGTAAGCGACATGGCGGACATGTGACTTGCTTGTGAAATGCATGGGTTTTTAAACATTGAGAGCAAATGACCGCTACAACTGTAAACACACACTACAATGTGGTCAGATATGCGACGCTCATACTGCATGGTGCAAAGAGGCTACGATACCTTGTGGAGGGAACTTAATGCGGGTTGTTTGTAATCCTCTGCCCAGCATTAAACGATTAATGAGACTGGTATTAAGGCAGGGAAATTGTAAAATCTGCCCAAACATTTTGAAAATGATTAAGGTGGGCGTCTTGTATATTTTGATCGTCTGTTGGGCTACCGTCGTGGGTTTCAGGGTGTACGAGGAGTTTAACGGGCACAGGCTGTCCAGGCACAATCTGATGGACATATCGATGGTCATATCAATCACTAATTCGAGCTGGGATCCGTTGGTCAGAGGTGTAGCTGTCGCGGACTCGAACTCCATAAAGATGCATAGCTCGTCGTTGAAATCGAAAACGGCTGTGAAAAACAAGTAAAAACCAAATATATTAGTGCATCGCTCGGGTGTTTAGTATCCATGCCATTATCATAGTGCACGGCTGTCGCATAGCCAATGTGTTTAACATTGTTTACAGTAGTTTTCAAATAGCCGTATAAGGGGAAAAAAACGCTAATTAAAGTTGTTGACATGTTTGATCTATTTAGATAGAAATAATAATATATATCTAAATATGGGGTGCATAGTTTGCATAGGGACAGCATCATCTCACCCTGCACACCACCATTCCTGCCACGGAAATTTTTAAAGAAAATAAATATCACGTGTTTATACAGCCACTTCCAAGATTTCATTCTTAAAATTTGCAATTCCCATGACCCCATGTGACCTCTGGGCCATGGCAGCATGTTAAAGAACTCTTCCTTTTCAGGTATTGTAATCGTTTTTTCAGAAGTCGAGAGAGATGATAAAACATATTTCTTACCATCTATGACGATCATTTCACCAGAATCCAGGGGTGGATCAAAATTCTTGATGAGGTTTGCATGTTCATCTAGTTGATAAAAAAATATTGAGCATATATACGATTAGTTGCATTGTTAGTAGAAGGAGTACATTGGTAAAACTATCAGAGTACAAAAAATTACGTGGAAGAACTTTGAACTTCTCATTGTCAATCTACCACTTGGCTTTCTGATTTTTACATTGTCATCCATATAATTGACCCAAAATACGTGAAATATGAACTGGTTAGCATCGAGCCGTGCCGTGCCCGCTGTTGTCTGTGATACTGTACGCATTCGCACTTATACTGTATGCATTAGGTCTTTATACTGATTGCAATGTACACAAATCCCACCGAAGGATCGTAACCTTATCGTGGGGTTTGTGTGTTCCAATTACCCTCAGACCTATGTTGCCTGGAGTCTTGTACTTCTGGTCGGGTTTCTCTTGGTGAACAGGTCTGGGGAGAAGGTTCCAGACAAATAACGGTCCAAAAAACGGCCCTTGTGAATGCCTTTGAAATATAAAATTCAGAGAAACTTGCTCGGACAAGGTATGCCAGGAACCCCCCCCCCCCCCCCCCCCCCCATGGAGCCAGGTCTACGGGTGGTGTTCGCTGGCAAGCCTGGTGGACGGGTGTAACACGTAACCTGGTCGAGCCCAGTACGAAATGGCTACGTGGCGACGTCCTGTGGGCCCATCATCCGCAGGACGAAGGGTGAGGGGTGGGTGCAATGCCAGTGTGGCAGAGATAGGGATGGTCTCAGATAGACTGGACCTTGGCAATGGACACTAACAATTGGGACATGGAATGTCAGATCACTGCGGGGGAAGGAACTGGAGCTGGTGGAAAGAGGTGTAAAGGTATCGACTTGATATAGTCGGTTTCACCTCCACACACAGCATTGGCATTGGAACCATAGGCCTCGGGCGGGTGTGGGGATACTCATAAGCCCCCAGCTGAGTGGTGTTCAGTTGGAGTTTGTCCCAGTGGGTAAGATGGTCGCCTCAATGAGACTTCGGGTCCCAGAAAGAAAAACTCTGACTGTTGTCTGTGCTTATGTACCAAACAGCAGTTCAGAGTGTTCAGCCTTCTTGGGGACGATGAGTGCAGTGCTCGATAGAGTGCCACCTACCGACTCCATAGTCTTACTGGGCGACTTCCATGCTAACGTGGAAAACAATGAAGATACCTGGAGGGGCATGATGGGGAGGAATGGGCTCCCTGATCTGAACCTGAACGGTGAGATGTTATTAGAATTCTGTACTAGTATATAAAATGTCAATAACAAACACCATGTTCGAACACAAGGATGCACATAAATATACTTGGTACCAGAGCATCTTCGGCTGAAGGTCAATTATTGACTATATAGTTGTGTAGTGACTGCGATTGTCACTGTGTGGTGCCGGGCTTACGAAGCCACAGCGGATAATGTGTTAATATTATGTGTAGCCCGCTTACGGGGCGTAGTACCAGCCCTAATGAGGTTTGGGTGAGCGCAGGTCAGTGCGGAGGCACCGCGAGCAGTGTGCGGTGCAGGCTCCCGGTGAGGGAGCGAGAGGGAGCGTCAGCAGCCAGGGTTATGTTGGGGCATGATTCGCTGGTTGACCTGCTGACACGTGACCGGATGATATTGGAGGGGGGCCACCAGTGGACGGAGGCCGCTGGGCGGTCACGTGGTCTAAAAGAGCTCTTGGAAGCCTTTGAGAAAGAGCTCGAGAGATCTGGAAGGTGGGCGGGGCGAAGGGCAGAGCCAGCCCCAGCCGAGGGGGATATAACGGGGGCCCCGTGAGGAGGTCGGGGTTCTTCGTGTGCTGGTGTGAAGAAGATCCATGTCGGGGAGAAGAAGCCTCTCGCCATGCGGTCCGGAATCCAGCTTGTGGTCCGGGCCGGGATAGCGAACCGTGTATAGTTCTGCCGTAGCGTGGTTATATGTGCATTCGATACCTGAGTGTAGATTGTGTGTGATGAAGTTGCTTAAGTAATAGTGTTGCTTTCTAGACAACGCCTGCGACTCAGTTAGACTCACTACAATTGTACTATTGGACCTAAGGCCGTATGTTCTGGACACTCAGGTGAGGAGAGAGGCAGAACCGTCAACTGATCACCACCTGGTGGTAAGTAGGATCCGACGCTTTGGGCACCGACCAGATAGATGTGGAAGGCCCAAACGAATAGTGTGGGTTTTCTGGGAACGTCTGGCAGAAGACCCAGTGCCGAAAGATTTTAACTTCTACCTCCGGGAAAACTAATCCTGCACTCCAAGGGAGGTTATGGACATTGATTTTGAGTGGACAATGTTCGGGACCTCAATTGTCGATGCTGTAGCCTGAAGGAAATTGGTGTCTTTTATGGCAGCCACCCTCGTACTCGCTGGTATTTTTTTCAGTGGTGAGGGAAGCTGTCAAGTTGAAGAATGCTTTCGGGGCTACGCACGAAAAAAGGTATCCTTTTTCAATTGAGTGGTACCTGCTTGCCAAGAGGGCGGCAGTGGTAGCAGTCACTGAAACAAAAGCCCAGGCATGGGGAGTTTGTTGAGGCCATGGAGAGAGACTACCGGGCAGGCTCAAAGATGTTCTTGCAAACCATCCTGAGCCTTAGGAGGGGTCGACAGAACGTGGCCCAGGTTGTTCTCAGTAACGATGGCGTAACATTGAACTCAACTAAGGAGATCATCAAGATGTGGAAACAGCTGGAGGGGTCGGATCCATCATTGCTGCTGAAGTCGCTGCAGTGGCCTCCATAGCAGCAAAGCTGCTAGGGTGGATGAGATTCGCCCAGAGTTACTCTAAGCACTGAACAGTGCAGGGATGTCATGTTTAACACGCCTCTTCAATGTTGCATGGAAGACAGATACAGTACCTCTGGATTGGCAAACTGGGGTCGTGGTCCCCATTTTTAAGAAAGGGAGACCAGAAGGTGTGCTCCAACGACAGAGGGATCACACTCCTCAGCGTCTCAGGTAAAGCCAGAGTCCTGGAGAGGAAGCTGTGCCTAGTGGTCGAGCCTCAGATTCAGGAGGAACAATGCAGATTCCATCAGGGTCATGGAACAAAGGACCAGCTCTTTTCCCTCTCACATATATTTGAGGGGTCATGGGAGTATGCTTCTCCAGTCTACCTCTGCTTTGTAGACATTCTACACTGCAGCGGTTGAGCGTAGCATTGTCTACATCCTGAGCACTATCTCAAAAGATGAAGCACTCCTACTTCATGGGGGAACTAACAAACGCAGCAACAAAGACCCTTCCGGTGTGGTGTTTATTCCCTCTATACCCCGTGCTTTGATGCTGAGTGTGCCGAGCTACTTTAACAATATGAACAGTCTGGTGACCCGGATGTGTTGTCTCATCTGATTGACAGCCTCGATATCATGTGGTGTGCTGGTGTGGTAGAAACTAGTCACCAGCACAGATTTATCTAAGTCAAGCAGAAAGGCCTGGGCACTTTGTCCACATTCTCAGTGCTGCCCAGCGACTGCCAGCGTGCAACAACCCACCGGTTATAAAAAATGAAGTTGCAAGTCAACTGGGACAGGTTGTCAAAACCATTCAAGGTCAAGGAACCTGAGCATCATGTATACCATGAGTGGTGGCAATACCTGTGTAGTGACATAGCGCTGAATGTTGGACAGCAGCAGCAACTGCAGGTGGGCACTTAGCGCACACGCCGCTGAGCATATACACGGGTGTGCTGGCAGGGTGGAGGAACTGGGGCAAGGTTCATGATAGACCTCGTGTGGAAGCCCCTGGAACCATCTAAAGGGTTCGAGAAGGGAGACGTGGCTAGGGCGTAGCCAAGCCGCACCGAGGGGAATATAAGCAGTGGAGAGCGAGAGCTCTGGGCTGCCAATTATGGGGTTGGACTTGTCTCGTCATCGCTGTCGTCGTCGCCGCCTCCTTCGTCGCTACTGCCTTAGCCCGTGCATTTCGTAGCTGGATAGTAGTTGGCTGTCTCGGTCGACGCCGACGGTGCAATGTAGGCAGGGTCGTGTCTATGCCGGGTCGTGCGGCAGCGGGGTCGTGAGAGAGAGGGGGCCCAAGTGGTTCAAGTTCAAGTTAATTTATTAGGTATAGCCCTGTGAGCCATTCGGCTCTTGAATCGGGTGCAACCGCAACAAACAAAAAACAAAAACATGAACAAAAAAACATCTTAAAGTGAATATGTGACTGAGTGCAAACAGAAAATCCAAAAAAATACAGCAAAATATTGCAGAAAAAATACCATACACCAACGCTGTGTGCAAAAATCCCAGTGGGATGCAAGTCAAACAACCAACAACAACCACAAGACAACTTAGATTAAGGCCATCAGTCTAACTCTGTACTACAACAAACAAACATGGCTAAACCAATACACTTTTCGAAATCACCAAAATAAAGCCATGAACGCAATGAAACAGTGATAATAGGAACTGTGACGGAATTTTCACAATAAATGTCATAAACAACATGTACTACCAAAACCCTGCAGCCATTACTGGCTGCATGAGTCACTCCACAACAGCAGGAGCATCAATTGGAGTATAATAATTTTTCAATGCACCTTTAAGATCAGCACACTAAATCAAAACACAGGTCATACTTTGTAGCGATCATCTGGAGCAAAACATTTTATTTTAGGCCACTGAATAGCACTGGCAGCTAGGGGTGTACAACTCCTCTAGCAGTTTTGAGTGAAGATCTCAAAGGTAGTGACTCAAGTTTAAATTTATTGGCAACAGCATTCCAGACCCTGGGGGCATCAATAGCAAAGGCCCTTCCTCCAGTATATGTACGGCAATAGGGAATATGAAGCTGGTAAATGAGTGTAGACCTTAGGTCAAATTTGTTCTTTGAAACAGAGAGGAGATCCAGCAGGTAATCTGCGGATTTTTTTGTAAGTAAATCATGAATAAGTAAGATCTGCTGTACAAGCCGTCGAACATTCAGAGATGTTAAGTTTGACCCAATGTAGAGATCACGGTGGTGAGAGTCCTATATGGGCAGTTCAATGCACATCTTAAGGCCGAGTGATACATTGAGTCAAGCTTCTTCAGTACAGTAC